TTTTTTTTTTTTTTTTTTTTGTTTCTTTAACCGCTTATTTATTTCGTACTGAACCTAAAAGCCCTAATTAATTTCCAGTACCTTCAGAAAATGTTTGTTCCTTCATGAAATGGTGTGTTGATGGTTTGGATTTTGAGCGGCTTTATGGTTTTTGATGCTCCGGATCTGGCCTCGTTTCGGTCGTCTTCATCATTATATTATCTCTCTCTCTCTTCACTCTCGTCTCTCTGCGGATTTCTATATGTATACGTTTGTCTCCATTACGCTTGTGAAAGATTATTTACTGAAAATTATTTGTTTATCGTTCTTGATGGTGTTTTACTCTATAGGTAATCGTCCCTGGGACTTGGAATTTGACAGAAGAGAGTGAGCACCCAGAGGCACTTGGTATAAAGTGTATACTAATGCTTTTGCGTGCTCACTTCTCTCTCTGTCAGATTCGATAGATGGATCGGGCTCCGTAATTTTTTGCCATCGGTTTGCCGTTTTAGTTTCACATTCTTTTATGGACTTAGAATTGTATGTGTCTCTCATCCAGTGAATCGGATTTGCAGTTTTTTAGAGCGTGGCTTTTCATGTTGCTCACTGACCGGAGTTATCGGCACGACCATGAAAATACCGTACAACGGGACCTCTCTCAATGTAGATATAGGTTGGTCTTCTCCCTATCGGTCTCTCTCTCTCTCTCTCTAATCTTTTCCCTCTCGAGCCATAGTTTATGTTTCTCTTATTTTTTTTTTGGCATTTTTATTATGGCCTCTTTATCATTTGATGCACTAATTTCTTAATATGCGCACGCTTTGATTTGAATTCATGTCATCAGTTTCTGTTTTCTCCAAAATTTTTCCTAAAAGTATCGTTGATGATGAAGTTCACACTAGATAGCTTCTGTAGGTCATTTGAAAAAACCCTATGTCACCTAGAAATTGAACGACGTTGTTATTAGTCTACCAATGGATGGTTCATAAGGCGGAGAAGGAGAACTTGTAATCTAATTTCCGGTCCGTGTATTTTTTGTTTTCCTGTGATTCAAATCTGATTCTCGGTTTCCCTTTCACTGCTTTTATGGCTATTACGATCTCTCAATATATTAATTGATTGGAGAACTTGCTTTAACTATAATGTCATAATTTGCAAGATTACCAAACAATTTGCACTTAACTTTCTTGCTCTTTAGTATTTGTAGGAAATCCTATTCGTTTATGCAACTTGTGTGGTGTATTTTACGCTTTTTCAATTGAATTTTAGACCTCTTCTCGCCGTACTTCTAGAGATTGCTTCGATAGAATTAATTGCCCCATCACACAATACTTTTTCGATTTTACTTCCTCGAATATCTGATATCACCATGTTCCACTACCCTTCCCATGTATTAGTAATTGTAAGAATTACTTGCTAGGTTGCATGTTTTCCTACTTGCATCTAGTAGGGTTAAGATTAAAATTTTAAGAAGCAAAATGTCAATTGATTGATCTTGAATCTTTTTCTAATGAAGTTGCGTATCCTCGTACAGGTGTGAGGAAAATACAAAGACGTATGTGTTTAATTGAGCAGTTGTTCGCTTTAACAGGCTTCATTCTCTTTCTGCGAGTTAATGCTCGGGAATTTCCTTATTATCCGATGTTTACTGGGCATATGGAGGTGACGTTTTTGCGTAATAATGTTCATTTCCGTTTTTGCGCAATTATTATTGATAGGACGTTGGAGAAAATGCTACATTATAGGGGTCATAATTTTCACGCCGATCAACGGAATTTATTGTGTAGGTATCACTGTCTTGATTTCTTTTACCTTGCATTTGTAACTGCCGCTTCTGCTGTTGATGCTGTGAAGAATATCTCGAATTTATTGCAATGTTTTAAAGCTAGGATTATTATAAATATATGATCTCGAATAAAGCTAATCAGTACGTGCCTTTCTATTAGATCTTAAATGCAATTGTGCTTTTCAAAACTTTTCTAGCCAAACCTATGTTGCCCTCCTAAGTGGTATATTAATAATTTCATGGAATTCTTCTAAATTAGTTGAGTTTTCAAGTTTATGGAGGAGAGTATCATTTTCTTAATAATCAATAACAAAATGAATAAAAGTGAAATATTGATTTTCAACATGGGTTAGTGATAAAGGAGCCTTTCACCTTGCTAGTTGAAGTTGATAGAAATTAATTGTGTTGATTTTTAAATAATTTTAATTTCTTTATTTTGAAATGTTCCTTCGTTATCTATGAGTGGTATCTTATTTGTTTTCCATAATTTTCCATAAAAAGAGTATCAGTCTGTGTGTACTATAGTTTTACACTTTAGAGATTGCCTTTTAGTTTTGTCATTCCGCGTGTGTGTAGTGTAGATATTGTTTGTACATATATTGTGTTGTGTGCCAGGTTACACATTCTTGCATCATGCGTGCATACAAGGGTATAACATCAATTATAAGTGTCGCTTGCTAAACTTGGAACATCTATACTGGTTTTTATTTAGTTCATGGTTCCATTTTTTGTTCCTTGAATAACTTGATTACTTTTGACATTCATGCCGAGTTCATCAATTTGTATGAACCTATCTTCTGTCAATTGTTTGCCATTAGAGTCGAACCGTGCCCATCTTTGTTGCTTTTGCATATTCAGATGTTGCACATGTTTTGGCACGAAAGTAGCGATGCATGTTGACACTTTTTTCACACTTCACACTACCCTTCTTGATACTGAAAGGCCCTTCCTTGCCTTTTAAACTTTTTCCGAATAATTTAATGTTGAATAGCTATATAATATGATGTCTCCCCCCTTTGCTTTCAGCCAAAATTCTCATCTTTCTGAGGTTTAATACCCTTCTAATTTGCTATTATTGTGGACTATCAATGAACCTTTCACCGTTGATCGATGGACTAACGCACCAACTCGAAGATAATGGAATCGGAAACTTGAGATAAGTGGAAGGAAGACCTTGAGAAAGCTTTAACAGGTAGAGGGCTGTATAGCCAAAACTCAGGGTGGACTAATTTGGTTCTTTATAATACACTTCCCATGTTTTGTTGGAAATGTTCTAATTTTTTATGAATGTTTTCCTTTATTTGTGGTCGGTACCAAAGATGACTGCATAGAATGTTATAGGTGACAATCTACTTCCTTCCTGGGTTGCTGGGTCTGTTTTGAACGCACGGCCCGGTGGATTTTAGGGCTTGCTAGGAATTACAATGCTGTTTTAAAAATCAGTGCAGGTCCTGAGTTTTGCTATTTGTTAATGGACGGGCAGGACGAAACTTAGCTGGTTGGGTTCCCTTGTGGCGATCAGATCTCTTCAATATCTTATGGCAATTCCAAGAAAGTCTACGGTCTGTAGTATAGACGCACACGAAGACTAAATTCAAACTTTCCATATTACAAAATAAACATTGAATTTTGGATATCCAAACATTGGAAGTTTAAGAATGAGTGCTGTTGTGAACCCAGTCAACATTCAACGAACCTTTTATATTATTTCATGAATATTGGTCAACAATTATTACTTGTAAAAATCTGTTGGTGAATTTTGATTATAATTCAAGTACAATTTCTTGGTCTTTAATTTGTGTGTTCCAGTTTTGGGTTAAATCCAGACGTTGTGATGACATGCCCAGCTTAGTTCATGGTAATGACGTCATCATTCCATCTCATAAGTTTTATGGCTTTTTTGAACGACTCATTGGGTCTTTTTCTTGGTCTTTTTTTTTTCCCCCTTGTAGTTTGTTCTTCCTATGCTACCTCCCCCTCGTCTACCTACATTCGGACACTCAATTTCAAACCTCTTGTTCTTTATTATATTGTTCAACTATGTCGTGGGTTGGTATTTTGATGTCGTCATTATTGCCTCATTATTGTGACATCAGTTCTTTGTGTAGTTTCTTCCTCTTGTAAATAAGAGTATTAATTACATTACAAATAATTTAGATTGATAGTACGATTAACAGATTTGATTATGAGTTGGGGTTGAGAAGATTAGGTTTGTTTTATTTGTGTTATGTTTTTGGCCTACGGACATTTGTCAATTTGTGACCTATTCATTTGTCAAGTGTTAGGCACTCTAACAAAATCATAGAGGAGCATTGTTGGTGGGCGTCGATGATTCCTTGCTGATCCTCCATTCCTTCCACATGGCTCTTGCTCATTTCGGTGTCTGTGTGGGATCCATACCATAAGATCTCTCGTTAAGATTTAGGGTCGCGAATATTACGTTGTTAAAAAAGGCCAATAACAATGGATATTGAAATGAGCACAAACCACGAGAGATGGGATCATATTTTCTTTTAGTTCGAACGATTTTTAATTGAGGGATCAAATCGTAGACTTTTGAGATGATAATTGATATTTTATCCACTCAACTATAGTATTTGAATGAATGGAAAAGGTGTATATTTGGTATAAGTATTTAAAAGCTATTCACATTTGGATATATCTTTTAGAAATATAAAATATTTTCATTCATAAACATGTTAATCCTTCTACTATTCCAAAATAATATTCAAACTTGATTTTTGCTTTTATTTCATTAATTAGTATTGTTTCTAATATTTTATTAGAGGACTTTTTTTTTTTTTTTTTTTTTTTTTTTTTTTTTTTTTTTTTTTTTTTTTTTTTTTTTTTTTTTTTTTTTTTTTTTTTTTT